CGCAAACGCCAACGATAGCAGCGAATACTGCAAATACGTGAGTGTATAAGTATATTCCTTTGCGAGTGTCTTTTAAATGATCATCGATCGATGGATGGGTTGGTTTAATCGACGATGGAACGAACGATAGACTGGTTGCCGTTGCTGGTACGACCGAAGATGCCCAAAAGTCGGACGAGGTGGGCGCCGGCAACGCGCCGAACAACGAACAGGATCGATGGTTAATTTCCTTGTCGAACGATTCGGCTGGCAATAATCAGTCGACGAGTATCACCGACGATCAACAACAGCAGCAGCAGCAGCAGCAGCAGCAGCAACAACAGCAGCAACAACAACAACAACAGGAGCAGCAGCAACACTCGATGCACGAAAATAGTCGACTGTTGCGAGCGCTTACGAATTACATAGTTAAAGAGAAAAGGTACGTTTCGTTCGTTTCGTTTGTTTCGTTATTGTTTCCGATTGAAAAATTGGCCCGTCTTCTTCGCAGCAGCGTCGATCAAGGTGTGCCCGTTACGATTCTTCGAGCCCTCGTACCGTTGGCTTATCAGATTCTTTCTCCGGCGATCGAGGGCAACGGATTCTCCGATCTGATGAACGTGATGTCGACGTTGGCCGACGCTGGTTCCGAGAAAGGGCACACTCTGCTGTTCAAAGCCGGCGTCGAATGGATCGAACTTTGGTAATACTTGGTCGACGACGTTCGTTCGTAGTCACGTCTTCTTATGTAAAGTTTGTGTGTAAATGTAATAAATACGTATTGTTTGTAAATGTACGCGATCAGCAAGGAACGATTGATCGACAAAGATCCGCAAAGTTTGGACAAGCCGTCGTTACCGTTCGTCGAGGCTGGCTGTTGCATACTGAACTACGTGGCAGACGTGGTGAGCGCGATTTGCCCCCGATCGATCCAGTCGCGTCAAGATCGGGCAACCAGTCCGCCGTGGGAAGGCGGCGCCACTCCGGTCAACGACGTGAACGACAGCGATTGGATAGACGACGTGCCGCACGAGGACGAGGACAGTGCTGCCGACGATTCCGACGACGACAGCCTTTGCAACAAATTGTGCACGTTCACCATCACGCTGAAGGAATTTATGAATCAACATTGGTACCACTGTCACACCTGCAACATGGTGAACGGAGTTGGCGTTTGCACGGTGTGCGCTCGCGTTTGTCATCGCGGCCACGACGTTACCTATGCGAAATATGGGAATTTCTTTTGCGACTGCGGCGCCAAGAACGACGGCTTTTGCCAGGCTCTGACCAAACGGAGTCCTCAATCTCAGCAATCGGAGCAACACCAAACGAACGCGACTGCCGTTGGTCCCGGCAATCCGACGGCCGCGTCGACTGGCAGCTCGGCTGCCACTGCCAACACCACCCACGGTTACGGGAATAACACCGTTCCGGGGAACACGTCCGCCGAGAATCGAGAAGGTTTCGGTCTTCTCACGAGCAGTTTGCGACGAAGGACTTCCAGCCCCTTGTACCTGTTGTCGTCGTCCGACAAACAGGAGAGACAAGGCCGTGACAAACAGAGGCACGCTTGCTTGGCCAAACAGCTGGGTAAGCTTCTTCTTTCCTTCTTTCCTTCTTTCCTTTTTCCTCCGATCCAGTCCGGAGAGCTCTTAGTCGTTTGCTCACTTGTTTTTCGCTCGATGATGAAACAGAAACGTCCAAGGATTGGATACAAGGTTATCTTTGGAAGAGTGGCTTGGTATCGTCGTTGGTAGATTTGACTCGCGCGTTGGTACCGGCGGTGGATGCATCCTGTCGAAAGAACTCTGTAATTGGTTGTCACGCGCGGGCTCAAACGGCGCTTAAGCAGTTGCACA